AAAATATACAGCAAAAAAATCCATTTTTTTTATAAATAAGATAAATATACAACAAAAAAAAATCCGTTTAAAGTCAGAGAAAATCATGACATCTGATTGTGCAATGCCAAAATATGGGTATCGACAGATTGTAGAACCGTGAATGTACATATTTGTATAACAATAATATTTAGTTTGGTTTGAATTTACAGATAACAAAATCAGTATTAATACCGATTAATACAAAATTCGTAGATCTAATAACAGTGTTGAATTTTGTAACCTTTTAGAAGGATCGATAAGTATACCCGGATTGTATCTAAGTTTACGGACTCGGTAAACAACATCCCCCAACCGTAAAAATTAGGACGTGCCATCCCGTTTGCAATACTAATAATCATTTCTACAGGTACCGCCAAATGTCTGAACCGAATCTTTATATCTTTGGAAGAATTTAGTAGATGTTTTAAGTAATTCGTGGTAACGAAATAATTGACTTAACAATTTACCAGTATTACATAGATTACAATCATTGAAATCCAAAACGTCACTACAGAAACGAGCAAAGCGAACGAGTTGGGATATCTAATCACCAAAAGATGGTGCAAAAGGAACGTCATCGTCTAAAATAAATGGAGAATGTGTCCATGGGACACAGATGATGGACTGCTTGCATATAACGTTATAAAGGGACATAACCAGAGAACTGTAAAATTGACGCCACCCTAATTCGAACTTCATAGATCTGTGTTTTACGGTAATAAGCATAGTTCATAACATTTGATCGAGGCAAACTAAAGTAAGAGAACGGAAACCAATTTTGGGACGTACGGACGGACAAGGGTAACACTTAATGCCCCCTTCGCCTAGAGGCGGGCCATAAAAAATTTCCCATGTAAAACTGAAATATCTAAATTTAGGAAAGGAAAGTTATTGCTATTTATATGTTATTTATTTAAAGTAATGGTAATAAGGGGTAAATTTCGACAGAAATTCTTGTTTATCTTACGAAAAAAAATGTCATCAAGATAACGGTAAGTGCTGTTGGATTTATAAGAATAAATGAAATTTAGACGGGTCTTTACTGAATTTGGCCACAAACTGTGATTCATAACTGTACAGGAACACACATCTGCTGTTAAGGAAGCGCAATTGGTGCTCATAGGAGGAATACAATTGAGAATGGAAACCGGCGTGGAATGCGTCAAAGAGACAACAACCTGACCAAAGAACAGAAAACAGCCCAAGGCCACCAATGGTCCTTCAACACAGCGAGAAAATCCCGCACCCGGAGGTGGGCTTCAGTTGGCCCCTAAGCCATAATGTATACTAGTTCAGCGAAAATGGACGTCACACTAAACTCCGAAACATATAAATGAACTAAAATTAAAAAAAAATACAATACTAACAAAGACCAGAGGTTCCTGACTTGGGACAGGCGCAAAAATGTGGCGGGGTTAAACATGTTTTGTGAGGTCTCAACTCTCCCCAATACCTCTACCCGATGTGGAATAAACAAACACACAGCAATACGCACAGTAAAATTCAGTTCGAAAGAAGTCCGAGTCCGATTTTAGAATAGGTAACAGAAGAAACTAAGCAAAATGACAATAATCAACATAAATTAACAAAGGACTACTAGCAGTTACTGACATGCCAGCTTCAGACCTCAATTAAACTGCATGACTAAAAGATTATGCTTCGTCATATGAAAATCAAGCACAATCCCTCCCATTAGGGGTTTAGTATCATATCATCATAAAATATACGAGAAGAACATAACCCGTATCATGCCAACAACTGGTTTAGAATAAATGTGTTTATATCCTATGCAAATACCCTATGAGTGAATCAATATTAATTCCCAAAAATGCCATCTTTAATGACCTGACAACAGTATCGTAACTACATTCCTTCTGAATAAGTCTGTGTAAAGGTTGGGTAAGCTTTTGAGGTGAATGCCGACATTTTTGTGCTTTGTATATAGAATATTACCAAAAAAGATAGGATGTGAATCACCTGAACGTATTAGATGTCTGCACGTTGAGTTATATCTACGAATGATGTCTTTATGCTTTCTTCTGTAATGAAAAGAAAATGCTAGATATACTAACTTGAACTGTGATGAGATGATTAAAGATGTAAATTGTCTCCTTGACATCATCTATGTACGTTTCGGTAAAGAAAAAAAGTTTATCGCCAGGTTGTAGGAATTCCTGTGTGTAAATCAATGTTCACCCCCCTCCCAAAGAAAAAAAAACAAACAATACCAGACGTAGTGATTGAACAACAACAGTATTATTTTAACCTTATCAGTTAGGCTACTGACCCAAATAAAATGTGTTTTCAAGAGAAAGATCCAGATAAGAAGCATATCTAACTTTGGTCGCATCATTATTGCACAGTGCACATGGATTGCGAGACGCAAGCGCTCACTGAAATGTAGACTATTTAGTGACCGGGCATCACCGATATACCTGAACATTAAATAAGAACATTAACGGTACCAACAGTTACTGGACCAACTACGCATTCCGACAATTAATGTTTCTTCGGAGATGCCCGAGGCCAAAATATTTGAAAATCCAAAACATAATACAAACGTTGAAGACCTGAAAATATCAAAAGGACCGAAAGAAAGCCAACTAAAGAATTTTGCAAGATATTATTATTTTTGTCTTTGGGAAGGTTTTGAATGAGTTTGGCTTCATATATGTGCGCAATTATAATATATATTCGGAATACTCGACATAAAAATGTCCAGCATTTTGAGGACACCGTCTTCGATGTATTATCTGTTGGAATCGGTGTTGTACTTCACAAAGTGAAATTTTCGTTACTTAAAACAAGATACGCGTAAATACCGATTCCAGTTTTTCGTAGAAAACTTACAAAGCAAAGATTGACATATTTCATGAACATAGAGAATACTGGTGTGGATTGTGTATAAGATGCGGATGCAGGATTTCGAAAGGGGGCAAAGTAGTCACCTATAGCCGTGGGAAATGTAAAAAGTCTACCACATATGTAGCTCCACTGACAAGGGGGCAGGTCCATGCCCCCCCCCGTAATCCATCTCTGTGTATGTAATTAAAAGTCTTATATTATTGACAAAATTTGAATGCATGTGATTGTTAGTTTTTTTTTTCATTTTCAAGCCGGTGATACAAATCGCTAGTAGAGTATACTTCATCACAATATTTTTGAAGACCATCTTTTAGAGTAGAAAGAATGATCATTGTCTGAGATTATTATAGCACAGTAAATTGTGTGTTATAGTAATGTCAGCACATAGTGAAGCTAGAATATTAGAATGATATTTAGTGGAACATCTAGAGATTAGCCCGCTTTATTTTTCATTATAAGAATTTTTATGAAGTTTGTGTATATCAATATAATAAACGAAGATTTTCGTCGTCAATACAAAAAAATGTGAAGGACGGATTCGTGTAATTCTAAACATTCGCAACTCTTTCTTAAATGAGTTCGATGAGGCCAGAGTATAAGGGTTCTCCGATTCGCTGTGAATTCAAGTTCGATCTGTCGTTTAGTGATTCAAATAGTGATTTCTGAATATAAAAACAACACTGCTTTGTGCTTCGTCTACTAGAACAATAACGTATAGGTCGTGTAGAGAGAACAAGACATTCGCAGTCGACCGGCTTTTTGGAAGGGTTTTTGGATGCGCCTTTGAATGCACGATCGACCAGCTTAGATTCATCCAGGAAATGTTTGAGCTTTGGTTCGCTAAACCCATTTCCTGGCTTCATTCAATAACCATAAAAGTTTTTTTTTTTTCCAATTGATGGACTTGTGAAATCGCCATGATATGACACCAGGCTAATATAAAATTATATTAGGTCCAAATGTATATAGTCGGGCCTCAGTTTCATCACTAGTCAAATCGAGAAAAAAAAAAGAAATCACATAAAAATTAATGGAGAACCCGATGCAGATAAACAAACGAGAATATGAAAAAAATCAAGGAATTGCTAGAAAACAGTTAACTTGCCAAGTTGGTATTACTAATACATGTACGTTAAAGGGGCATTAGCTGTCAAATTCGTCTTCACCGATTTGACTCAAATCCCCCTTATATTTGATTGATAGCATACTAAAACGTATATCCAAATTACAAAAAGTCTAAAATAAACAATTAACAATACATGAACTCGTTAACATTTCGTGTGTATTTTTGTCTAGACGTCATCTAATTAACCATCGAGATGACCCCGAAGACTGCCGACGGTCATATAACTTGATATAAACATAAATACAAATACAAACAGTGCAATTGGATTTTTCTAGGTATGTTTGATTTCATATTGTAGGTTAAAAAGTATGTTTATCATCGTTTTTACCTGTATAAGAATATTTTTTGTGTGGATCGAATCAGTCGACCAAATGGTTCATCCTTGTTTCACTTTCAATGTTGACATTCTTTTCGTTTTAATAGCTGAATACATGCGTAACCCATCTCCAGCTAAGGGGTTAAATTAAAGGTCACATGAATACGAATTCAATGAGGTCGAATTAATCACTTGCAAGTGAATAATTCATCAGCGATGTTTCTTGTCTTATTTTGACAAAATTGAACCAAATTTGCTGCTTAAAGGGAATTAGTATTTCACTTTATCACTTTCATTAACGATTGAACAAACAAAAAAAATCATATTTTTATTTTTTTATATGTTGTAGCTAATGCCCCTTTAAGTTTTCTAGTGTGATTAAAAATGGATAGGGAAAGTTATATGCAAGATATAGTCCTAGGCTTTCTCCAGAACAGAAACAAAATATAAACTAAATAAAGGGAAAAATAGTGTGTTCAATATTTGAATATGCGTCAAAAAGATATTGCAAGTTCACATCTTTTTTAACTCATTTACGCTTCATTCCGTAAAGCACGTTTGTTTGTTTATTTACTTTCACAGTTTGACAGGTGCGCGCATAAAAACAATAACTTTTGGCACGTGTCTTCAATTATCCAATCGGAAAAGCCTTAACTTCGCGAATCTGCGCGAGTAAGAATGCGCAATGAAACATTATTGACAACAAAAATGCCGTCTGAAAGCCCGGTGGTTGCTGCTCAAACTGAGAAACCACAGCATTATTTGTGAGTAAATGATTCATATTATCACACTGACAGCTAGTATGTCTTTCTGTTTATTATTACATGGTCAAAATGTCATCGATATTTTGCAGGTATTTGAAGGAATTTCGAACACAGCAATGTCCTCTTTTTCTGCAACACAAATGCACTCAACACCGACCCTTTACCTGTTTCCACTGGCATTTTCTTAATCAACGAAGACGAAGACCTGTTAGAAAACGCGATGGAACGTTCAATTACAGTCCTGATGTCTACTGTACAAAATATGACGAGACAAATGGAGCCTGTCCAGATGGTGATGAGTAAGTAAATAGAGAACTGTCAAAATTATATCAAAATGTTTAAATTTTGGTGGGAAACCCAGGGGAAAATTCTAAACCTGCTTTTACTTTTTAAACTTAAGAATAAGAACATGACAGCTGATTAAGTTGAATCATTCGTCAACACCAGTCAATTTTATAACAAGTGCATGAAATTGCAAACCGCTTATTCAGCAATAAAAGGTTTTAATTATGGCATAACATGTTGTAAACAAATATGGCGGACGTCTATTTACATCTCCGTCATTGTTTGAAAAACTAAGCTCTGATCTATTGAATGAAACAGTACTTGACTTTTAGTAGTGTAGAGTATTATTCTAGCCTTTTAACAATGCTATTATTGCAAGCTTTGTTTATAAGAATGTCGATAAAATTGAATAAACGATAGTTAGAATTAGAATATCAGATTGCATCCTTTGTTAAACACATAATTTTTAAATGAATGAAAAATCTACAAATTGATTTTGCAAAAGCTCTTGATTTTTTATTTAAAACAGTGATTTAAGAAATGATAAGTTGTCATGATTATAGGAATGTGGTTGACTTAGTTTTGATATAATATAACACAATAAATTACTGAATCAGCTGGTTACAATTGACATGCGTAGATGTTATTTGGAAGAATTTTTCTTGGCCTTGACCCAGATTTTATTTATAGAAACTGTTTACAAGTTCAGAATCAATATAAAGGAAATAATGATAATTGTAATCAGGTCTTTCTGTTGATGAGGAGAATGTATAATTAATGTTAAAAAAGTAATGCATTTGGAAGAGGTGATATTCATGTATAATGAGATTTGTAGCTAGACTTTAGTTATGACAGACAGGTAATTAACAGTAACTTATCTTCAATTCTATCATGCTTCTTTTGAAGAGTTCATAGAAATATTTTTAAAAAGAAAGGTATATTTGTGCTTTATATATTGTAGGTATGCTTATAAATTGCATTGCATTTCATTTAATGTTATATATTTTAAACTTAGAGTCAGATCATGTACAACTGTCATGTGTACCTTTAGAATGGAAACTTTGGTTTTATATATAATAGTAGAATTTCCTGTTCTGTCATTTTCACTTTGGTAACTTACAACAAACTATTTATTATTTTATTGGAATATATTTAATTCTTAAATGTTTATTTTATGTTTTACAGGTGCCCTTATTTACACAGAACTGCAGGAGATACAGAAAGACGTTATCATCTTCGGTATTACAAGACTGGTACATGTGTTTATGAGACAGATAGCAAAGGAAATTGTGTGAAGAATGGCCCCCATTGTGCCTTTGCACATGGTGCCCATGATTTGAGGCCACCCATTTATGATGTACGCGAATTACAAGCCATTGATACCATAAATATTAGTTGTGATAAGAGTTCTAATGCTAGTTCTATATCAGGAACACCAAGTAGTTTAGAAAAGGATAAAATTTTAGCTGAAGATCCTAGATGGAATGGTAAGTGCTAATGAAACAATTATTTACACTTGGTACATATTTTGAATTAAAATTTACAATTGATTATACTTGACATTAATATTTGTCAATTTTTTTTTATCCACATCACAATAATTTTTGTTCCAGTGTTGTTGAATTTTATGAACACGTGGGGCAATTTAATCTTGATGTGGATAGGGTTTGGATTCTTTTAAATGCAAGGTTTGTTGTTTTAAGAACCTGAAGTCTATAAGTAAATTGGGTTAAACCTCAAGTTCACCCCTGGATCATGTACATTGTATACAGGACAAATGATTCTGCAACAGTGTTGCAGAGACAACTGTGTTCAGCCTTTGTTTATAGTGACAGACAGAAATTAACGAAAACCAATGAATAAAAGGGACATAGAGAATGTTGGAAGGATAAACATCTTTGTGGGCGCTCAACCCTCCTCTTACCTGGGACAGTTGTACACATAACAGTGCTATAAAAATCAGTTGACAAATAAAACGATGCCATCATGGTAGTGTGTCGTCATACATGAGGTCAATGGAAATCCCTGAATTAGTATTCTGATTTAAGTCATTTTGTTTAGAGCAGAAGATTTAAATGGTAACTTAAGGCTTTGATAAGGTTAGAATATTTACTTTTATTTGTATAGTACCAAAATAAATATTAGAAATTTCATTTTTGTCCTTTCTGTTACAATAAATATTGATTTTGCCAGAACTGTGGACTTCTTTCTTAAAATCATGTGTCCCTGTTTTCATCTGTAAAAATTTTTAGTCAGAACCCTGGAATAGTACAAGTTTTACAAATGTTTGAAATAAATGAAATTAAAACAAAAAGGATGAGTGATGACAAAACATCCACATGATGCAATTGCAATGCATCATAAAATTGTAACTTAAATCAGTTCTCCCTTTAGATTGTTAAATACACTTTATTAATTTTGTGTTTCTCAGTGCTTTTCTGGATTAAACTTTATCATGAGCAATGAAACCCGAACATTCGAAAGCCAAGAATGTATAAGACCTTAACACCTATACATGTATATAGGACAAATGATTCTTCAACAGTGTTGCTTAGACAACTGTGTACAACCTTGTAGATACAGTGACTGAATTTTCTATTTTCTTGTAGTTTTAAAGATGTCCTTGGAGCTGTTTGTTACTGATAAGTACATGTACTATGCCTTTAATATGGATTAAAAAAATCCTTGGAATATATGTACATTTCCCACATTCTACCATCCATTTTTCAAGTGGGTTGGTGGAATGATAAAATTGCTAAATGGTGTCACTTTGTGGATGTAAGCAACTACATGTATAGGTCACTACTTTCCAGTATGTTCTTTTTGACCAGGCCTGATATGGTGGTGTTGCATCTTGCAAAGTCTATTAAATATTTTGCGAAGAATTCCGCTCAAGTGTGCTAGGGGCTGTGCATGTACTGATTGTGTGTCATGGATGGATACCCCATAACTGTTTGTTTTTATACGCCCATTTACGGGACGTACATGTATTATGGTATACCGTTGTCCGTCGTCAACATGTCGGACATTAACTCAAAAGCGCTTTAACCAATTTGCATAAAATTTTGGTGAATTGTTAATATCTATTGACGTGAGCTCCCTTTCCTTTTTTATAAATTTTAGATTTTACATTTCCGAGTTATGGGGTTTTATTCATTAAAAAAAGGGGGTTTTTCCAGTTTTCGGACAATAACTCAAGAATGCTTTCAACAACTTGCAAGAAATTTTTGTTAATTGTTTATATCTATTGACATGAGCTCCCTTTTGATTTTTATAAATTTTAGATTTTACATTTCCAGGTTACGGGGTTTTATTCATAAAAAAAGGGGGATTTTCCAGTTTTAGGATAATAACTCAAAGATGCTTTCAGCAGTTCTCATGAAACTTTGATGAATTGTTGATATCTATTGATGTAAGCTCCCTTTAGAATTTTATAAATTTTAGATTTTACATTTCCGAGTTATGGGGTTTTATTCATTAAAAAGGGGGGATTTTCCAGTTTTCAGACAATAACTCAAAAATGCTGTCAGCAATTCTCATGAAACTTTGGTGAATTATTTATAGCTATTGATGTAATCTCCCTATTGATTTTCATAAATTTCAAATATGACATTGAGAAGAAATTGAACTTTATTTGTTTATAAAATTGAGAATGGAAATGGGGAATGTGTCAAAGAGACAACAACCCGACCATAGAACAGACAACAGCAGAAGGTCACCAACAGGTCTTCAATGCAGCGAGAAATTCCCGCACCCGGAGGCGTCCTTCAGCTGGCCCCTAAACAAATATATATACTAGTTCAGTGATAATGAACGCCATACTAAACTCCAAATTGTACACAAGAAACTAAAATTAAAAATAATACAAGACTAACAAAGGCTAGAGGCTCCTGACTTGGGACAGGCGCAAAAATGCGGCGGGGTTAAACATGTTTATGAGATCTCAACCCTCCCCCTATACCTCTAGCCAATGTAGAAAAGTAAACGCATAACAATACGCACATTAAAATTCAGTTCAAGAGAAGTCCGAGTCTGATGTCAGAAGATGTAACCAAAGAAAATAAACAAAATGACAATAATACATAAATAACAACAGACTACTAGCAGTTAACTGACATGCCAGCTCCAGACTTCAATTAAACTGATTGAAAGATTATGTCTTCATCATATGAATATCAGGCACAATCCTTCCCGTTAGGGGTTTAGTATCATACCATCATAACATATATGAGAAGAACATAACCCGTGTCATGCCAACAACTGGTTTTTAAATAAATGTGTTTAGTGCCGATGCAAAGACCCTATAAGTGAATCAATATTAACGCCAAAATATGCAATCTTTAATGACCTGACAACAGTATCGTAACTATATCCCTTCTTGATAAGTCTATTTAAAGGTTTTGTTAGTTTCAGAGGTGAATACTGACATTTTTGTGCTTTATAAAGAATATTTCCATAAAAAATTGGATGTGATATACCTGAACGTATAAGAAGTCTGCATGTTGAGCTATACTTACGAATGATGTCCTTATACCGATGATAAAATTTAGTAAATGTTTTGACTAGTTTGTGATATCGAAAACCCTGGTGTAATAATTTTTCAGTAATACATAAATTTCTCTCGTTAAAATCTAAAACATTGTTACATACACGAGCGAATCGTACAAGTTGAGATATATAAACACCGTAAGATGGTGACAAGGGAACGTCACCATCTAAAAATGGATAATTAACGATAGGAAATGAAAAATCATCTCTTTTATCATATATTTTAGTATTAAGCTTTCCGTTAATGATATAGATATCAAGATCGAGGAAAGGGCAGTGGTCATTGTTAGTATTAGCTTTATTTAAAGTAAGTTCAACAGGATAAATTTCTTTAGTATACATACTGAAGTCGTCATTATTGAGAGCCAAAATATCATCCAAATATCTAAAAGTATTATTAAATTTGTGTATCAGATGTTGTTTCGATGGGTCTTTACTGATTTTTGTCATAAATTGTAACTCATAGCAATACAAAAAAAGGTCCGCAATAAGTGGTGCACAGTTAGTCCCCATTGGAATTCCGATAACCTGACGATATACGGAATCTCCAAAGCGAACAAAAATGTTATCTAGTAAAAATTCAAGGGCATATATAGTATCAAAGCATGTCCAATTGACATAGTTTTTTTGTTTATTGCTACTAAAAAATGACCTAAAAGAGTTTGAACATATATATTCACATTCTGACTTTTTAAATGCCCATTTAATTAGGTGTGTGAATTTTTTCTTAATGAGAATGTGAGGCAATGTGGTATATAGGGTAGAAAAATCAAAACTTTGAACAGATTCAAAATCACCAATATATGCATGCAATTTATCAAGTACTTCCAACGAGTTCTTGACACTCCAAAAGTAATTAATTCCACTATTTTCGAAGGCCTTATTTGAACAATTTATTATCAGGTTTTTGATTGTACCAAGTGTACTGGTAAGAAGAATAGACAATTTAGTAGTGGAACAATGGCTTGAAGACGAAATGAATCTATATTTGTAAGGTATTTTGTGTAGCTTCGGAAGCCAATACATAGTTGGGACTTTCATTGTATTTGGTTCTGCTTGTAAAGCGGTAGCTAAAAGTTTATGTTTGTTACAGATGTCGTTTTCTGAAAATGGAGTCAGTTGGAATGTTGGTGAATTGGTGATTTCTTTTTTCAGAACCTCAATGTAAAATTTACGTCAAACAATAATAATATTATTAGCAGCTTTATCGGCCGGGACAAAAACAAATTCCTTGGCTAGTTCTTTTAGTTTATGTTTGATACGAGAAATAGGTTTATTGTGGTTATTGTTAAGAGTAAAATGTTCTTTAAAATGTTGAATACGTATATCAACTATGTTCATTACTGATTTAAAAAAAGAGTCCAAAGATTTTTTGTCAGCTTTTTCCCGTTTTATCCATTTCAAACAGTAAGTATGGAGTGAGTCGTGGATGATATTACGACACTCATTCCAATTAATAATTGACGGGGGACGATATTTAGGTCCTTTACTGAGGAATGATTTTAACTCTCGGTCTTGACAAGTCTGACAACAGATTTACTAAGTATTGTGCAACAGCATAGTGTATTGCACAACAGCAAGAAATCTTTAATTGAATATAAATTCAATTCTTATAACCAATTTCAAGTTCTTTGACTACATTTATTCAGAAACCTATAATATGTCAAATATTTAATAACAATCCAAATTCAGACCTGTATCAAGCTTGAATATTGTGTCCATTTCTGTCCCAACTGTTCAGGGTTGGACCTCTGCGGGCGTATCCAGCTGTGCTCAGCGAAGCAGTTTATTTTTTATTTGCCCAAAAAGGGTCTCAAACGATAGTCAAACTCATATGAGTTCAACTTTGCCTAAGTCATGTCTTTGCTGCAATCAGTCATCAACAGTATTAGTCGTGGGCCACCTTTAAATTCTAGAATTCCCTTGAGTCTTGACTAAC